GGAAGAGGATGAGGATGGTTGGGTTGTTGGGTGGGTTGAGGAGGAAGAAGATGGATGGATGGATGGATGGATGGGGTGGAAGAGGATGAGGATGGTTGGGTTGTTGGGTGGGTTGAGCAGGAAGAAGATGGATGGATGGATGGATGGTTGGTTGGATGGATGAGGAAGAGGATGAGGATGGTTGGGTCATGGGTTGGGTTGAGGAGGGAGAAGATGGATGGATGGATGGATGAGGAAGAGGATGAGGATTGTTGGGTTGTTGGGTGGGTCATTGTTTGGGTGGAGATGGAGGAGGAAGAGGATGAGGATGGAAATGGAAGAGGAAGAGGACGGATGGATGATGGATGGATGGAGGAGGAAGAGGATGGTTGGGTCGTTGGTTGGGTCGATGGTTGGGCGGAGATGGAAGAGGAAGAGGATGGATGATGGACGGAAATGGAAGATGATGATGATGATGGATGATGATGATGATGATGATGATGATGGTGACAATGGTGGATGATGATAACAATGGTGATGCTGAATGATGGTGGTGGTGATAACGATGATGATGATGATGATGGTGGTGGTGGATGATGATGATGACGCTGGACATGGATGACGATGATGGTGATGATGATGACGATGATGATGATGATGATGATGGTGACAATGATGACGATGATGATGACAATGATGATGATGGTGATGCTGGACAATGATGACGATGATGATGATGGTGATGATGGTGACGATGATGACGATGATGATGATGGTGGCGGATGATGATGACGATGTTGGACGATGATGATGACGATGATGATGATGGTGGATGATGACGATGACGATGATGGTGACGATGGTGACAATGATGACGATGATGATGATGGTGACGATGGTGACGATGATGAGGATGATGGCGGTGGATGATGATGATGACACTGGACAATGATGATGATGATGATGCTGGACGATGATGATGATGATGGTGATGATGACGATGATGATGGTGGCGATGATGATGATGACGATGATGACGATGATGATGATGGTGGATGATGACGATGACAATGATGGTGACGATGATGACGATGATGACGATGATGATGATGGTGGTGGCGGATGATGATGACAATGTTGGACGATGATGATGATGATGATGATGATGGCGGTGGATGATGATGATGGTGACGATGGTAACAATGATGACGATGGTGGATGATGACGATGATGACGATGATGATGATGGTGGATGATGACGATGACAATGATGGTGACGATGATGACGATGACGATGATGGTGGCGATGATGACGATGATGACGATGATGATGATGATGGTGGCGGATGATGATGATGATGGTGACGATGATGACGATGATGATGACGATGATGATGATGGTGGATGATGACGATGACGGTGATGGTGACGATGATGACGATGATGATGATGGTGGCTTGAGGCCGAGGCTGCCCCGTGTCCCGCCCCAGGAAGACGCTGCAGGTGAAGATCGTGGACGATGAAGAGTACGAGAAGAAGGAGAACTTCTTCATCGAGCTGGGGACGCCGCGCTGGCTCAAGCGCGGCATCTCGGGTGTCCCCATTGTGTCCCCACTGTGTCCCCCCGGTGTCCCCACATCCTCAGTGTCTCCCACTGTGTCCCCACGGTGTCCCCACGTCCCCAGTGTCCCCCATTGTGTCCCCATTGTGTCCCCATTGTGTCCCCCCGGTGTCCCCCCGGTGTCCCCGCGGCGTCCCCACGTCCCCGGTGTCGCGGCAGGCGACGGCGAGCGGGCGCTGTCGGCCGAGGAGGAGGAGGCGCGGCGCATCGCCGACATGGGCAAGCCGGTGCTGGGCGACAACCGGCGCCTCGAGGTGGTCATCGAGGAGTCCTACGACTTCAAGGTGACCCTGGGGACACCGAGGGGACACCGGGGGCGGCCGGGGGACGCGGCCTGACGTCCCCGGTGTCCCCAGAACACGGTGGACAAGCTGATGAAGAAAACCAACCTGGCCACCGTCATCGGCACGCACTCGTGGCGCGAGCAGTTCCTGGAGGCCATCACCGTCAGCGCAGGTGGCGCGGGGACGCAGGTGTCCCCGAGGTGTCCCCGAGGTGTCCCCGGTGTCCCCGAGGTGTCCCTGGGGGTGGTGTCCCCAGTGTCCCCTCAGGGTCCTTGAGGTGACACCATCCCCAGGGTCCTCAGGGTCACCGTCAGCGCAGGTGTCCCCAAGGTGTCCCCAAGGTGTCCCCAAGGTGTCCCCAAAGTCCTCTTGGGTTCTTCCCACCTCGCCCACAGTCCCCTTTGGCTGCCACCTCAGTGCCACCACTTTGGGGACCCCAACCCCGGTGCCACCACCTTGGGGACCCCAACTGCAGTCCCACCACCCCGGTGACCCCAACCCTGGCAGTCCCACCACCCCAGTGACCCCAACCCTGGCAGTGCCACCACCCCGGTGACCCCAACCCTGGTGCCACCACCCCAGTGACCCCAACCCTGGCAGTGCCACCACCCCGGTGACCCCAACCCTGGTGCCACCACCCCAGTGACCCCAACCCTGGCAGTGCCACCACCCCGGTGACCCCAACCCTGGTGCCACCACCCCGCTGTCCCCCCCGGGGTGACGCCCCGGCGTCCCCGCAGGCGACGAGGACGAGGACGACGAGGGCCGCGAGGAGCGCTTGCCGTCGTGCTTCGATTACGTCATGCACTTCCTGACGGTGTTCTGGAAGGTTCTGTTCGCCTGCGTGCCCCCCACGGCGCTGCTGGGGGGCTGGGCGGCCTTCGGCGTCTCCATCCTCCTCCTCGCGCTGCTCACCGCCCTCATCGGCGACCTGGCCGCGCACTTCGGCTGCACCCTCGGCCTCAAGGACTCGGTCAACGCCGTCGTCTTCGTGGCGCTGGGCACCTCCATCCCCGGTGAGGGACGCTGGGGACACCTTGGGGACATTGGGGACATTGGGGACATTGGGGACATCACAGGGACATTGGGGACAGAAGGCACACAGGGTGGGACCAGGGACAGGAACTCAAGGACTCGGTCAACAGCATCGTCTTCGTCGCCCTCGGGACCTCCATCCCCGGTGAGGGACACTGGGGACACCTTGGGGACATTGGGGACA